CACGAACAGGCTTGGTGAAATGGATGAAGGAGAAACGATAGCGGTTGAAGAAAGGTGAAAGAACAGGAGGAAAACCCTCTCCCTTCCCCCTATTTAATGTAGAAAGGCGTGCGGCGGGATGTGACCTTGGCTGACGGGACACGGACTGCCCGACAGAACATCGCCTGGCTAATGGGACGTGGCCTAGGTGGGGCCCACCACTATGGCAACCCGAGCATGGGAAATGAGGTGCAACCGCACACAAACGACCCTATACCTTCCCAGGCAAGGTTTGGAGGGGCCCACCGATAGAATCTCCATCAAGGAGAGGCCAAGGTCACCTAAGTCAATCGGACGGCTCAAGCGGCTGCCAAGAGATAGGTAAGGAGCAATGTGATGTCCCATGTGGGTTATGCTGACTCCATCACGAACGATGGACCCAGATTCCACTTAGACATATCCGATACTAGCCATCGAGGTAACTTTACCAACCCCCATTTTACTTTTCCAGTACATGAGCATACATTCATCCATTCTCATGCATGCATTCATACATTCAGTCATATATTCATCCATACAACCAAGCATTGCATATGCAATTGATGCATCACAACGCTTCGCGTCGCGTCATGAAGCGGGAGTCGTCTCATTCGATATGAGCGGCGACCGACCGGGGTTCGAAGGCTGGCCCACAAAGGGCTCGATGCCGCCTCGCATCAAATGGAGCTAGGGGAGAAAATGTAGATGAGCCCCAGCGGCCCTCGCTCGACCCACTAAAGAGCAGATAGGGTCATCTCAACCTTCTTGTTTGATCCTGACCTCGGGCCATTCCCACAGAATCTCCATCGAGTGGAGGTCATCGAGCTACATGAGTCGCTCTCTGGAACAACTCGAGCATCTATCGGGAGGCGGGTTAAGGAGAAGTGGAGTGCCACATGAGGGCTATGCCGACCCCATCATGAACGACGGATCCGGATTCCACTCGGACATACCCGTTAGCAACCTCACCGAAGCTCGCCACTAGAGCCATTGGGGCAAGTGGCGTTAGCTCAACCCCTCTGGTTGCAGAAACCATGGATGGGTGACATAGGAAATCATGCGACCAACCCGACCGACCCCTAGTGGCTCGAGGGCTCGAACTGCCAGGTCGACTCAGGAACCCGACCGACCGCATAGGTTGCCATCGGAACAGCACGCAGGCGAACACCCCGATCGGAAGAGACACAAGAGTCTGCAGCGCCAAAAAAGAATACCAAGGTGCTCAGGCTCTGACCGACTCCCCAGTCGGGCACAGGCTCAAGGACTACACCCACTAGGTGTGCTCACGTGCACCTAGCGGAAAATGGATTACCAACAAGTCTCCTCCTCAGGTGCTGGGCGCCAATGTCCATCCGGTGCGCCTTCGTGGCCCTCACCAGTCCTCCCCATGGAGGCTGGGTGCTCATATCCACTCCACACGCCTCCGTGGCCTTTGTCAGTCCTCCACATGGAGGCTGGGTGCCTAAATCCTACTCGGTTACCCTACGCAGTACAACAAACCAAGGGGGAAAACACCGAAGTTCCAATAACAGCCCGCCTCTACGGCACAATGGGTATAGGAATTACAAAGCGAATACAAGCTTTCATTAAGCCAAAAACACAAGCCCCTGGCTTTTACAATATCACAAAAACGTGTGTGAACAACCCCTTCATGGCTTCACAGAAGTCCCAAAGGGGCTCGTGGGCTCCTGTCGGGTTCATAAACCCGGGGTCCCCGATGGACCCGCTTCCCTACAAAACCTGGTCCGGTGGCGACACAGCGATAGCACACGCTTGGGTCGGCCTAGATACATAATGATAGGCCAAGACAACGATCTAGTTCCTGACCGGAAGGAATGACCGAGGTAGGATCATAGTTCAACTCCAACCCCTTTCTCCGACCGAGGATACGTTGGACCTTTGCTCGCTGCTCTTTCTCGATCGACACGGTCGGGGCCGACTGGGAATGACTGATTGGGGATGCCCGCTCGGTGTGGGCCTAGAGAGCAGGAGAAGTAGATAAGGTAAGGCACTCAAGTTAATCGCAATACCGAGGACCGTACCCTACCAAGCCCTGCGCACCTGCAGAACGGTGCCATCGGGGCAAGTCAGGCGAACACGGTAGAGCCTGCTAGACGCATTAGAGCATAAACAGTATTATGGGTGCCGTCGTTTGCCGTACCAGGCGAACATGGTAGAGCCTACCAAACACGTCTGAACATAAACAATATTATGGGCGCCGACGGCCATCCCATACCCAATGGCGTGAGCAACAAGACTAGGCAGCGCACGTATACACACACTCTCTCTCTCTCGACTTGTAAGGCCATCCCCTTCAACTATAAAAGGAGATGAGCTCTCTCTAAAAGACCCCCCCTGAAGACTGGACGACTTGAGGACTCGACTGTTCAACAGCTCTAGAGCGCGACAGCTATACAGTCTACACGCTCTCAACAGCTGATAAGCTCGGACACACAGAGCACACGCTCCGATACTTAGCGCACGTTTGAGCATCTGTCACTCTCGGCCACTCGGTTCAGAGTCCGACCGGGCCTCTAACAACCCCCTTCTCATTTCTTCACTCGTTTGTAACCCCACAGCAAACTTCGAGCACCTGGGCTCAAGAATAAAGTCATGACCGACTGAAACTGGATGTAGGGCACGTTGCCTGAACCAGTATAAATCCTGTGTCATCGCGTGCTAGGCCACATCCGATCACAACGCACGACAAAACTACAAATATTTACTTGTTGGCCACATTTCGCACCGACAGTTAAACAATTCAAGTATGAATCATGAGCATGTCATTCTTTTAATAAACGCCATGCTTTTTTGCAAATGTACATTTGCCTGATAACACCCTTGCATTCACCAAATATTTATATGTTAGAATTAAGTCATGTGAGTACGAAATATACTCACGGTGCTGCCGTTAACTTGTTTTGCAGGTAATCTCGTCTCGGTCGATTTGAGCCAATGCTCTATCCACCGCTGCATAGTATTCCTTGGAGTGGGCGATTTCAAGTGAGCTACAAGTTAACTCCGATATTCATGTATAAGTGAACTCGAGATGTTAACCTTAGATGGGATTAGATATTATATTGAACTCTTGTATTTTGACATGAATTATTGGCGAAAGACTTCCAATTCCTTAATCATTATTGTAATAATCATGTATTATCCATTGGGTCATGTGCTAGTTTATTACTTGGATTGTTGTATGCCACTCAACTATATAAGATCCTGAAGAGGAGGTGTGGATGGCGCCCTCCTGGAGGATCCGTGTCAGTTGGGAGCGGCTCAGGTTGGTCAAAAGGATGACGCCTATGTCTTCCCAACCAGTACGGGGAAAACCCTTCTCACAATTAGGGTGAAACCCCCCATTTTCCAATCTCCAACTTACACGACAGTTTGATTTTCAATACTGAACTATGAAACCGAGTAACAGACATCCTCCACCTGTTGGAACCGGACAGATTTGATCATTTGGCTAGTTTTAAAGGTGGTTTTCTATTTTCTAAAAGCAAAAAATACATATGATTCATTCTCTAAAAATCATGACTAATTTATATTAGATTAGAAAAATATGAACTAGTACCATTTCCAGAAAAAAAATGTCATCTATATGTTAGTGCTCTATTTGCACGGTTCATTTTCTAGGTGTCTCATTGCATGTAATCACACCGTTATTTATTTAAATCATTGTTTTGTGCTCTACTTCATGTAATTATGTTGATTGCATGACTAGTTAGTTGCATGATGTGCAATCAATGTAAAGTAAAATGCTAGCCATGCAATGCTTAAATATATTTATACATATGGTGGAGTATGGCATCTACTCCCTCCGTTCCAAATTATAAGTTGCTTTGACTTTTTTGATTTATCTATTTTATTATGTGTCTAGACATATTATTATGTCTAGATATATAACAAAATTAATGTAACAAAAAAAATTAAAACAACTTATAGTTTAAAACGGAGGGAGTACGAGGTCGTCTTCCATATCTTTCTAGCTATCTACTCATAGTCTGCCAGATCCTCTTGATTGATCTCCAAGCAGCCTAGTACAATGCAGGATAATAATTACATAAATAATGAGCGTAACTATAGCAATAAAAGAATATGAACATAAGTAAATAAGTTCAAGATAATTATAAATGGATCACCAAACGCTAGATTATTGTTTTAGAAACAATTGGAAATACGTCGCATACAACACAACTGATTGCAACTAATGCAGTTATAACCGTAGAAATACATCCATGAGTTTTCATCCAATCCAAGTCAACTTAGCCCTTGTTTAGTTCGGCCGGAATCGTCATTTTGCAGTGTTTAATGTGACGGCAAACACTATAGTAATTTTGTTTGTATTTGTGAATTATTGTCCAAACATTGACTAATTAGGCTCTCAAAAGAGTTCAACCAAGCTCTGCAATTAGTTTTTATTTCAATCAAACTCCATACATTAGCAAATTTTTTGATCTTCTTTTTTATCTACAGTTTTAGACTCTAAATGCCTTAATAAGCCGTGTTCAGTTGCAAAAAAAGTTTGATGATTCATGAAAAATCTTCGATTTTTACATAGTAAAAAAGTTGGGAGTTTGGGAGAACTAAACACCGCCTAATTAGTTAATGAAAAAGAAACAAATATCTGACTACCTGTACTTTTTCCTGCTTGCTTGGACTAAACGAGGGCTAAAAAGAAACTATATCTGACTACCTTGCATTTTTTTTTTTTTGCATGTTTGTTAGAGTATTCGTTTATTTGTTCTTCACTCTGGAAGAAAAAAAAAGATTCAGCAACGAGCATAAATGTGTATGTAAATCGCTTAGTAGCACACAAAACGAGAGAGAAATCTATCGAGACGAGCTCAACCAAACGCCGCCTATAAATCCTGCGGCGGCGCCTGTAGTTTGTTCATTGTCGCCATGTAGTCAAGTACCCCCATTCGATTCCCACAGGCGAGAGTGAGGCCAGCAGATAGAACCATCAGGCGTCAGCCATGGCCACCACCGTGAACCCTGACCCGGAGGCGGCGCTCGGCGGCGCGAAGGAACCGAGGGGCCCAAGGTCGCTGCTTGCGCGCGCGCGCGACAACCTGGCGTTCCAGTCGGTGTGGCCGGAGCTGAACGGCGCCATGGGCGACCTGGGCACCTACATCCCGATCGTGCTGTCGCTGGCGCTGGCTCGGCACCTGGACCTCGGCACCACGCTCGTCTTCACGGGCATCTACAACGCCATCACGGGGCTCATCTACGGCGTGCCCATGCCCGTGCAGCCGATGAAGGCGATCGCCGCCACCGCGCTGTCCGACGCGTCGTTCGGCGTCCCCGAGATCATGGCCGCCGGCATCCTGACCGCCGCCTTCGTGCTCCTCCTCGGCGCCACGCGGCTCATGCAGCTCGTCTACCGGGTCGTCCCGCTCCCCGTCGTGCGCGGCATCCAGCTCGCGCAGGGGCTCAACTTCGCCATGGCGGCCGTCAAGTACATCCGTTACGAGCAGGGTCTGGGTAAAGGGTAAGTCCTTGGGCCGACGCCCCTGGACCGGCCTCGACGGCCTCATCCTGGCCTTCGCGGCCATCTGCTTCATCCTCCTCGTCAACGGCGCGGGGTCAGAGAGCAGCAGCAGGAGGAGGAGGACGGGGACTGTCCGCCGAGAGCAAGGCACCCATCCCGATGAAAATCAACAAGAACCAGAAGAAGAGGAAGAGAGGCAAGGTGGTGGTGGCTGGCGGTCTATGGTACGGCGCGCGGCGCCGGCGATACCGTCGGCGGTGATGGTGTTCGTTCTGGGCGTGGCGTTCGCGGTGGCGCGGCACCCGGCGGCGGTGCGGGAGCTGCGCTTGGGTCCGTCGCGGATGCGCGTGGTGCGCATCTCGCGTGAGGCGTGGAAGCAAGGGTTCCTCAAGGGCGCGGTGCCGCAGATCCCGCTGTCCGTGCTCAACTCCGTGGTGGCCGTCTGCAAGCTGACGCGCGACCTGTTCCCGGACAAGGCGCCGTCGGCGACGCCGACGTCGGTGTCGGTGACGATGGGCGGGATGAACCTGGTGGGGTGCTGGTTCGGCGCCATGCCGTGCTGCCACGGCGCGGGCGGGCTGGCGGGGCAGTACAAGTTCGGCGGGCGCAGCGGCGGGTGCGTGGCGGCGCTGGGCGCGCTGAAGCTGGCGCTGGGCCTGCTCCTGGGCGGCTCCATGCTGCGGGTGCTCTCGGAGTTCCCCGTGGGACTGCTCGGCGTGCTCCTGCTGTTCGCGGGAGTGGAGCTCGCCGTCGCCGCCAGGGACATGTCGTCAAAGGCCGAGGCTTTCGTCATGCTGCTCTGCACCGCCGTGTCGAATGTGGGATCCAGCGCCGCGCTCGGGTTCCTCTGCGGCATGATCGCCCACGGCCTGCTCATGCTCAGGGCATGGGCCATGGGGGTCAGGCTCAGCTAGGATCATCACTGATCTTGATCACCAGGTCCTCCGTTTGTAAATTGTGAGCTGTGATTGTCTGCGTGTGTGTTCATACATTCCCCAGTCTGCTACTCGTTGACCGGGCAAAATGTCAACTTGAGTAAATAATGTTAGCAAAACATCTCGTCAGACCAGCTTCGTTCAAAAATGTCTAGCTGCCTACTGCATACAACCTTCTCCGGCTGCTTTGTTCGCTACAGTACATAGCTTCACCATGGAACAATCATCAGCTTTGCTCGCCATCCCAACACCACGGCTAACTGATCATAGATCAGCTGGTCAGGTTCATGTGGTGAAACATGACCAACTGGATTTAAGTTCTCAACTTGCTTGTATTTTTCTGTATTTATTTTATGATTTAACGGCGCTATATTTTTAATGATAGGCGACGTCTGTATCGACAGCGAGACGTCGTGAATCTCGCTCAGTCAGCTATGTGCGCTATCGCGGCGTTCAGCGTTTAGCGCCGCTATTTCCGAATCGATGTCCATGGGACAAAGTCAAAGCCCATCCACTTTCGAGTGCTTGCTTGGCCTCATGTCTCGAGTCAACCAGTGTCTCAAATAGCAGTTCGGCTGATGAAAATCAGCGGTGGCGGTGGCGGCGGCTGCTTCGCCCAAGCCTGCGACCGATCGTTGCTTGCCTCCTGCCTGAGTGCCTGAGCGCGACGTCCTTCGCCGTGGCTGCGACCAGTTCAGTTGCTGGATCGCCTGAAGCTGTGGACGACGGGTAGTCCGAAAGCTCCAGGCAACCCAAGCAAACTGCAAAAGCAACTCTCCTGATCCTCTGATTCTCGCTGTCCTCCTTCCTCTAATGATGTGTGACTTCGTGTCAAATTTGTTCAATTCATCCGAAAGCTCCAGGCAACCCAAGCAAACTGCAAAAGCAACTCTCCTGATCCTCTGATTCTCGCTGTCCTCCTTCCTCTAATGATGTGTGACTTCGTGTCAAATTTGTTCAATTCATCATTTGCAGTGACTGATTATTGATTGATCTAGTGATTTGACTCATATGAGGTTTCGAATTTATGTGTATTGCATGCTAGTAGCGAGTACAGGGTAACTCCATTTTTGTGATGATGTAAAAATATGCTAAAAATGGCCAGATTGCTGATGTTATGGGGGCCATATTTCCATGTTTTTTGAAAAAAACCCGCTAAACGGCTATAGCAGCCACCATAGCTTCTGAGCCAAGCCTCGCTAAGTATTATTGTCCGCGATTTAAAACATTGTAATACAATATTTTGTAGTTAACATTTTTTAACATAATGTAGTTAACATTGTTATGCACTAGTTGTGGTTATTATGAGACAATTTAGGAACAAACAAAATATAAAACTACAGCAATGCAGCGTGAGATACTCCTACATGATCAAGAATTCCCTTTCTATGTCTTCATCCGCCAAAAAAAGATGAAATGGCTAAAACTAACAAAAAGGTACTCCACAAACATGTGCTATTTATTTGGCAGCTAGGAGCATCGTTGATCTTGATCACCAGGTCGTCTGTTTGTAAATTGTGAGTTGTGAATTGTGATTGTCTGCGTGCGTGTGCATACATTCCCAGTCACTACTTGTTGACCAAACAAAATTTCAACTTGAGTAAATAATGTTAGCAGCAAAACAACTCGTCAGACCAGCTTCCTTCACAAATGTCCAGTTGTCATTAGCATCTGCTTTGTCCTCTACGTATAGCTTCACCATGAATGAACAAGGCTATGCGCCCAGTGTTTAAATAGCGGACTAGCGCCGCTATAGGCTATAGTGGCTAGAGTGAACTGCAGCTAGGATATCACTCCTTCTGACGCCATTGCAGCTACGTGCGCTATCGCGGCGTTTAGCGTTTAGCGCCGCCATTTCCCAATCGATGTCCATGGATCAAAATGAAAGCCCCTGTTTCTGGTGAACCAGCGTCTAAAATAGCAGTCGGCTGATGAAAATCAGCGGCGGCGGTGGAGGCGGCGGCGGCGGCTTCGCCCAAGCCTGCGACCGGCGGCCGCTTGCCTCCAGCCTGAGCGCGACGTTCTTTTGCCGGGGCTGCGGCCAGTTGAGTTGCTTTCTATAGCTTCATGCACCAAAAAAAGATGAAATGGCTAAAACTAACAAAAAGGTTTACTCGACAAACATGTGCCGATTTTGTCTGCAGCACAGCGACTCGCCAATTAGCATGTTGATCACTAAGGCCCGTTCGTTTGTGCTTGTTTGGTTTATAAGCCGTATTTTTTTAGTCAACGAACAGTATTTTTCTCTCATAACAAATCAGCCAACAGTACTTTTGGCCATGGCTTATCAGCCCAACAAGTCCAAGTGAACAGGACGATTAAGAAAATTAACTACACTGATTTGGTGGATGAAGAAACCTATATCAATATTCAAAATACTGCCTTTCGCCCATTACTGGAATCAGCTATTTCAAAAATTCTAGCAAAAAATGGCATCATTCACAATCAGCTGCTGCGTTCCATAAAATCGGGAGATGCTTCCCGTACGTCTGCAGTCAGAGTGTCACAGGAAAAGGTCCAGGCATCCAGCCCAGTCTAGAGCAGAAATATCCTCCTGACTCCAACCAAACAGTCCACAGTGCCAAACCAAGCAGTGATGGAACTGATGAGCTTCTACCCACCGGCAAACAAAGCAATCACCAAGATCACACGCGCCTGCCTCAGTAACATCACATTCATTTCCGTGAATCGCATCCTTTACATTGTTCACAAACCATGGTACATTCTAGCCACATTACAAATGGAGAACAAGATGCTAGTCCCTGAAGTTACCATGCAACTAGATTCGAGTTCAATCAAACATAGTTTACAAGTTGAAGCCTGGTTTACTCTTTCTTTGGTGGGATGTGGTTGCCGCCGGTTGCAATTTTGAACAGATAAAACGCGGACATCACGGCACTACAAGGAAAATTCACAAATTAGTGCCATGAAGCGATTTTCTATTTGCACACAAAAGGAAAACAGGTGGGCAGTGCATGATAATCCAGTGATGCTTCCAAAGTGTTGAAGCTGATGTTTACCTGAGACCAGCGACGACACCAGCTGGCATAATCTTCGAAGTCTCAAGGAATCTTTGCCCCATAACGTAAGTTAAGGCTAATGCACAAACTGTTTAACAAAAATTGCAGAGTCAGTACAGAAACAAGATAGCAACAAAGAAAATTGCAGGCAGGAGAAAAGTATCTCAGAAATTTATTTTGCATATCGCACTCAGCAATTCATGTTTAGTATAAAGAATACAATGCGTTTGGCGTCTGTTCTGTTCAGTCTTTACGGGAAACAACAGAACTGTTGAAAGTGCCACCTTTTTGTGGTCTCCTAATAATTACCATGTTAAGCCCAAAATGTTTAAACACTGATAAGATATACCATAACAGCTTTGGTGGTAAGGTAGTGATGTTGTAGTTAATGGTTTAAAGCCTCATCAAATCTGTCGGCAGCAGCATTATCCAATGATTTGGTTCTCTCCTCTCAGGACCCTCATTCCATAGTATGCTTTAATTGAGATTCAAGATACTGAAGATCTTATCCAGGATTCCATATTCATTATGATCCTATACAAGGATTTTGGAAACCCCAAATTTAAACTTTACAAGTAATTCTTCAAGCTTTTTAATAGAGTGTTTTTCTTGGAACCAACCACTAAAGGGCTGTGAAAAGATGAAAGAATGCAAGAAGCCATTCCATCACTAAATTCCAAACAAATGTAAGAACTAAGCTCTCCATCAGGATTTCCTAAACAAATAGTTAGGAACTCAAGATCAAAATGCTCACACAAATATCTTGACAAAAACAATAAACACAAATTAATAGGACTGTGAGCATAAATTTGTTAACATTCATGCAAATTTAGTGTATAGAAGTTGTGAAGTGCTGACAAGCTGTTAGTGTGCCAAAACAACTGGAATGGAGAGTCCACCATGGAGAAGGAACAGTTCACACTACACACATTATAGTTGGTGTACTCATAGGACTGAAAACCAATGAAGCTGATTGAGCAGTTGAAAGCTAAATGGAAATGAAATGCTACTAAATGTGAATTGAGTAAACGCGTCTAAATAAAAACACAATTTCCCCCAGTTTGGAGCACATGATTTTTTTCCCCTAATTCCTTCAGTATATGCATTGGTTCCTACATGTTCCTGAAAATTCCTGCAGAACTGCTACATTCCAAACAGCCCTAATTCCTAGGCATGCAGGAAAGGATTGGGTTGCCTCGTAGTGGATTGTGTCTACTACTACAAGAGTACATGTACAGACTTATGCCTATCCACACAAGACTATTACAAACGTACGTGTACTGGGTATTCTCATGCCTCCCTCCCCTCCCCTATTTTAGCTAGGCATCGGCGATGCCTTGCCCCCAGCAAATGCAACATCGCCTAGGTAAAGCCTTCATGACACCTTAAGAATCTACTGCTACAAGAGTACATGACAGAGTGCAGACTTATGCCTATTCGTACAACTAGCAAGACCATTTGTCTTGATGCTTGAGATGCTCACAAAACTAGTCATTAACCAGCCATTACGAACTTTGGGTTAAAAGTATCAAATTCATTAATCAACATCAACACATAACTGGGATGATTTTCCACTGTATTTACCAGTAACAAGTAAATATTAGTATTTTATCCCACATCTGGGAGTCAATTAGGTTCAGAAATTAAGAGCCTGATTTGATATACAAATAGATGTATGATCTGATACAGGACGCATCATGTCGGTACAGAAAGTGACCAACTAGTGAATATTTGTAGTTTTGTTGTACGTTGTGATCGGAGGTGGCCTAGCACTCAATGACACAGGATTTATACTGGTTCAGACAACGTGCCCTACGTCCAGTGTGGATCGGTCGATGACTTTATTCCTGAGCCCAGGTACTCGAAGTCTGTAGTGGGGTTACAAACGAGAAGGAGAAAGGTGAGGTGTACGAGAGGCCCGGTTGGGTCCGACCGGAAGGGCCGAGAGCAACCGGAACTTCGCTATGAGCTAGGTGTTTTAAGCGTGCGCTTGAGGGGTTGTGAGCTATCGATCTAGAGAATCTCAACTTCAAGAAGTCGACCTCCTTCGTTGAAGGGAGCGCATCCCCTTTTATAGATGAAGGGGTGGCTTTACAGGTGAGAGGAGAGTACGGATGTTACTAAGCCTTGTTGCCCACGCCGATGAGGACAATGATGATGGTAGGAGCCAACAATACTGTTGATGTCACTATAGAATGTCAGGTGCACATGGGAGGTTACGTTGTCTTCTTCAGGAAGGGTAGATGTCGGTACCTGCAAAATACTGTTGGTATGTGAGGAGCCCTACCACGTGTACCAGATATGGTGAATCCTAGCGCCCACAGTACTATCGATGCCCAGAGGTATGTGGGGGCTTTTTGCCGTACGGGAGTCCAACGGCGCCCACAATACTGTAGACACAAATGTCGGCGCCTACAATACTGTTTGTGTCAGGGCGGTTGTGGAGCACTTTGTTCGCAGCGTCTGAGGTATGGTCTGGTATCGTGGTTTGACTTGTCTTGTTGTCTTCTCCGTTCGCCTGGTCCTTCCGAGCGGGCGTCCCGATCGGATGGCCCTGGGCTGCCGCGCCGCGCAAGTCGGTGAAGAGCGGTAAGCAAAGCCTTCCTATGGGGTCCCTGGCCGGAGACGCGGGTCGGAGAGAAGCGCTGTTTTGGGCGAGCCTTCCGATCGGAGAGACCGCTGAGAGGCGGTGGTGTGTCCGGCGAGTGCTCCGGTCGGAGAGGTGGGCCGAAGAGGTTGACGAGCGGGCGCTTGTTCTTTTGGGTAGACCTTCCGGTCGGCGACCGGACTGTCCTTCCGGCCCGTTGTGTTTTAGGCTCTTAGGCCGGCCCATGAACTACATGCTGTTTTCTTGGGCCGAGCCCTGGCGTGGAAGCCGGTCCCCGAGGGACCCCGGGTTTATGAACCCGACACATCAAAAGCAATTAATTTACCCATAAAAAGGGTCGAGGAATCCAATGATCATTAAGCTGGCATTGATATGGCATAACCTACTGATATGATATCTTAGTAAACTAGTGCCCACCCCAAGCCTTGTACTCATGTCCCACATGAAGCAACATGCAAGAGGCCCCGACAGTGAGCAATACAAGCCACACCACACCGCTGAAGAGGTTATGGCAGTGGAACTAGTGCGTGCTCCATAGGTTCAACACAATGCGACATTTCTAAATGGTTAGAACTTCGAACTTGGGCAAACTCGGACATGAAATGCTGCCCTATTGGCCTATTTGATATTCGCAAACACTGAAACACAGCAAGTTCGTTAGAAACGCGGAGAATCCTGAACTCAACCAAATCAAATTACTAAGCACTGCCCTCATTGCATGAGAACTGGCATCTCATAGATCCCACAATTCCAGCCCATTTCCGATGATCAAGGCGGCGATCAACCGCCCGGCCCGGCTACAAATCAAGTAGTCTTATTTTTATCTGCTCCTAAATAAACGAAATGAAAGGACAAAAGAATGAGAAGGGGGGGTGGGGGGCGGGGCGCGTACGCGTCTCGAGCGCGAGGGCGACGTAGGAGTTGCGGCGCTTCTCGAAGGCCTTGAGGCTGACGAAGCCCGCGAGGAGGAGGAGCGCGCCGGCGCCGGCGCCCCCCGCCAGGGAGGCGGTGCTGCCGCGGCGGAGGTAGCCCAGCACGCCGCCGGCCAGCACGGCGAACCCGTAGGGGATGGTGAAGCAGAAGTCGTGCATCTTGGGGAATGGGGACCGGAGCTCTCCCAGATCTCGCGGCGAGCCTTCTGTCCCTCCCTCGTCGCCCTTTCTTCTTTTGGTTTGGTTTGGTTTGTTTTCTCGGACGGATCGGAGGCGAGGCGAGGCGGGAGGAGATATAGACGAGGAAATCGTCGTCGACCAGACCACTTGCGGTTGCGGTGTGCGCGTGGCGCAGAGACGGAGGAGGGGCAGTCTCGTCATTTCCTGAGGGTAGGTGGCCAGAAAAGCGTGCCCGCCACTCGCTCGCTACTACCGCAGTCACCAGCGCACCCGGAACGAAATTAAAAAAAGATGTAACGCTCTGCGATTCCTATCAAAAGGAGAGAGAGCGCCTTGGAGAGAGATGGAAATCATTAAAACACTCTCTAACCAAGTCCCTATTTAAACCCCGATAAATGAGAGACTCTTATTTCTCTCTTCTAAACTCCTAGATGTAGGAGTTCCTCATCCTCTCCCATGTCTTCCTTTCTCTCTTCTCATAAAACTGACAAGTGGGACCAATAAACATGACTCATATCAATACAATGTAAAAGTAGAAAAATTTAGGAGATCGGTTGGAGTGCGGTAAGGAGTAGGGGATGAAATATGGATGAGGAACTCTCATTTAAAGGAATAGGAGGGCAAAATTTGAGAGTTTGGTTGGAGTTGCCCTAACAAAGTAAATAAAATATCATCATTGTTAATGTCTTAACTTGAGTTGATTTTGAATATATTTATATTTACGGAGAAGAGAGACTAGATTAAAATTATACTGAGTTCAAATCCCGACTTTCAAACAGGTCTTAATAAAAGTTGTGCATAGAGATTATGCCAAACGAACATGGGTTTATATCTTGCTACCTATCTAAACATGCCAAATTACAACTCCACTTTACTCTTAAAAACATGGAAAAAAAAAGAGTAAACCCATTTCTAATTTTTGGGATAATTCAGAGTTCCAAATGTGAGGTCAAATTATAAAAAGTACACTTTTTCATTACTTTTAAAATCTTGTTATTACATCCCTTCCATATCCGATCCAAAACATATTCGAATCGCAGCCTATTCGGTTGGCAGCCTGTTCGGTTGGCTGGTTCGTTTCGTTGTTGATTCATAAAGAAGTACTGCTGACTAGTTTGTGTGAGAGAAAAATATTATTACAGCTAGAAATTTATGATTGTTTACGACAGTCCACAGTCAAACGCACGGGCTGTCCATCGGAGAAAAAAAACTTCCTCCAAACCCTAAACTCGGCCAAACCCCACAGGCCGTCAGTCAGACAGGCCCCCAACCGTCCAAGCTCTCACCCGGCGGCCCCGAGACCCCAGTCCCCTGCAGTCCACCCATGGCGGCGGCGAGCCAGAGCGATGCGCCTCACCGGGAGCCCGGGCAACGCCGTCCCATGTGCGGCGTCTGCACGAAGCCCCTCCGCCTCTGCCTCTGCGGCCGCCTCCGCTCCCCGCCGGTGGACAACGCCGTCGGAGTCACCGTTCTGCAGCACGCGATGGAGGCCCACCACCCGCTCAACTCCACGCGCGTGGCGCGCCTCGGCCTCCGCAACCTCGCCGTCGTTCAGGTCACCGACGTCAACCACCGCGCCAGCTTCATCCTCACCACGCTTAAGGCCGGCGGCGGCGCGGCGGCGGCGTCGGGTCTTGCAGGCGGTCCTGTGGCGGCTCATTTTGGAAACCATGATCGGTCTGACGGGGCGGAGGAGATCGACTTGCAGAATGGCGGTGACCTTGCGTTTCGTCGTGATGGGATTTGCGCCAAATCAGATCGAAAAGATAGTGCGAGCTGTGATTTTGACGGGTCCGGATTGAATGCCTATGGTTATCTGGGCGCTGAAGACATCAGTTTTGGTGATTCTTTGGAAAGGTTGGATCTTGGGGACCTCAATGGTGGGATCTTCTGCGATCTTGCTGGAGAGGTTGGTTCTCTTAGTTGCTGCCACAACGATGGCGGGTGTGTCAGATTCATCAAGAAGACGAAGAGTGATGGACATCCTGCAGGTCTTGAAAGTCCTACCTCTGCAGCAAACCAGATAGAGAACTCTGTTGGTGACTCAACTATAGGTGAAAGCAGCCATAGAAGCGAGGTGGGGTTGACGTATAAGGTAAATGGTAATGGTAATTTGTCTCATTCTGTAGTAGCAACTGACTCTGACTCTGACTCTGACTCAGGAGAAGTTAATGGGATGGTTAATGACTGCAACGGTATGGGAAAAGAAATAGATGAAGTTAGTGCTGCTATTGGACAGGATTGGACCAGGAAAAACATGGATAAGTGCACTATTGCGTACACAGAGAAGGAACTAAGGATTGATGTTGAACGTGGAGTGAAACCCAAAATCAGATGGTTATCAAGAGGACCACTTGGTGAAGTAGCTGTCTCAAATGGCTTTCTTGTCACAAAGATACAGATGAAGAAGTGTAAACTCACTGGAGAAGTAACAGTGTTTGAGGAATTCTCAATCACCATACCACCAAAATCTGCTTTGCTATTTCCATGCCAGCGGGCAATCAGCATCGATGCTTCAGGTTGTCAGGTACATCATTTGATTGTGTTGGATGGCACTTGGGCAAAGGCACAAAGGATGTACCATGAGAATCCATGGTTGCAACTTCTGCCACACGTGAAGCTGGAGTCAGATAGGGTTAGCTTGTATAGTGAGGTGAGGCATGAGCCAAGGGCTGGGTGCTTGTCTACCATTGAGAGTATAGTTGTTGCCATGAGGAAACTGGGAGAGGATTCAAAGGGATTGGATGATCTCTTGGATGTTTTTGAGTCGATGATTGCTGATCAGCGACGATGCAAGGATGAGAATGTCAAGCAAAAGCTGAAGTCCTAATCATAAAAAAGTCTTATCATCGTCAGTCTGTTGTCTAACTTCATGATGACCTCTGGATGCATTTTTCAGTCCAGATGACATATATATGTTACTTCATACTGAGAATTTTTTAATGCCGAAACTTCATAGTTAGATGGTGTTTTCCATTTAAGCTTTATCTCATTTTCTGGTTAGGGCAGAGCATATCATTGTCGGTTTCACCTTCTGTGATCAGATCTGACTCTTTTCTCATTATTGCTAAGCTCTCAACACAACTATTTTGTAGACTTGGACCTATGGTAATCATTTTGAATGGGATGATGATACATCAGATATGTGATACAGCACTGCATTGCTTCTGCTCCTATTCTCCTATTCTTCTTAAAAAACTGCTTACAATAAACTATTTAGTTGACCCCCTTCACTGATCTTTGGCCAGTTATAATTTTCTTGCCATTTCCAATGTTCCATGCCATGAAGTTTGCGACAACAAATTAAAACTGAGTTGCTGAGAAATTTTTTTATTGTCATGGGAATGCCTATTTTTCTTTCTGCCATTGAAATTTTGTGCGTCTCATTCTGTCAACTCTCAGTCTGCTTCCACCATTTTTGACTAAGTAAAGATTTCCCCCCCCTTAAAATTATCATGACGAGTATGCTGCTGGAGGTCCTTGAGAATTGAGATTGCACAATAAGCAGGTAAGCCTGCCTAGAAAATTCCTTTCCCCAGACTCCATGCTATGTTGGAGCTTCTGGCATTGGATATGTTATGCCTTTTGTTTAATAATTATCATGAACAATGGAAATACTATGAAACATGAATTGCATAAAAAATGCAGGATTTGTGTATTTCTGTGCGGGGTCTGGGGAAGGGTGTCAGTGGCAAGCCTTACCCTCGCCTGTGCAATGCGAGGAGACCGCGACTCGAATCCGGGACCTTCCGGTCACAGGCGGTAAGACTCTACCGCCTGTTTTCCTATGAACAATGGAAATACTATCAAACATGAATTGCATAAAAAATGCAGGATTTGTGTATTTCTGTTTTCTATAGACGGTTTGCGATGTACACCTTTCTTTTTTTTTAGATGAAAGAAGTTATAGTCTTGTTTTTGCAAATAACAGAGGTTAACTCTAATTCCCTCTATATGTGTGCTATGTCCTATTGGTCAAGTTTACACTCTATGTTTAAGCCCATTTGTTTATCAGATCCTCATTTCACAGCTCTTCCTACAGTTACATTTTTTCCCTGCATGGTGTTCAGTTGTTTCCCTTGATGTTATGGTATTGCAGTGCTCATCAGATAAAATAAATGAGTATCCTGGTTTATGTCCTGAACAAGCTAACTCTGACTTACTGCTTACTCAGGTTCAACTCCAATTTCGTTTCATTTTTACTGTTACCATAAGCAACCACTTGCACGGCCATATCTGGGTTGGCCTGGCTGTTTCTCATTCCAGTTTTTTCTGCATTTGCCGAGAGGGTCCTTTTTTTACCTTAAAGAAAATATGTCGGTTGTATCTGTTGGACTTGGTAGAATCATAATATTCACTTGCTGGGTTTCTTTCTCACAGGCTAGTGATTTGCATCTGTAGAAGAGCTGATTGGCTTTTAGCTGCCTACCATTGGCCTATTATTCAATACAAATGGTGAGATACCACCTGGATATGTTTTTACTCCTGCTAGCACAAACTGTGTGTAGATTTTTTTAAAGGTTCTTTTTTGCTAAATGGGCAGGCCTGGTGCAGTGGTGAGAGCTGTCTCACTGAGTCACCAAGTCGTGGGTTTGAAGCAGCCTCTCCATAGATTTTGCGGGGGAATGCTTGCCTCGGTTTTTCTCTTCCCCAGACCCCACTCATGTGGGAGCCTCCGGCACTGGGTATGCCCCCCCCCCTTCTTTTTTTTTCTAAATGGGAACCCCTTCAGCTTTTCCTGTGGTAACATTTTCTTAGGCAGTGGAACACGCTACTGTGGCCAAACTTCAGGTGATTAGCACAGAGGTGTCACCTTTTTAGTGGGGACACTTCCTAGTATGGCTTGTATGAGGTTTCTGCAACTCTACCATTGAATCTTTACATAAATGCTCTGTAATTGCATTGCATGTAATATCTGAGCATGGTGGAAGTTGTATCTTTCATTTCGCTGGCCGTCGTAAGAGCGGTTGGAAGGAATGAGAGGATGGCATAATGATGCCAACAAGATATTTGGCTAAGAGATCATGGTTTATAGGGTGGTTGTCTGTCTTTTTTTTTTTAGTTTCAGTTATTGTTCCGCTCTAGTGCCAGTTTTGGTCCCAGTTTCAGTTCTATAAATGGCTGGATAGCTTGTCGCAGCTCAATTAGTAATTTAACTGTTTTTTCTTAAAAAAACATTTTAGTTGTTTTTATTTTTTTATAGGATTTTAGTTCTTTTTAGCTTGTCTACAAATCCAATATTCTAAAAGCACTTTTGCAGATGAATTCAATTATACTGCTTTGAAAAGTTAAATCATTTGAAGGAATTATGAACAAGGGACAATGATCATGTTGGCTCTATGCATCCTAAGATAATGATTGGTTGTTTGCATTAGTCTTGGTCTGCATTAGACCTTGTGCAATACAACCTAAGCCAGCACAAATGTATGCAATGTCTTTGGTGTTTAGTTGTTCTATCTAGATGTTGTGTTTTATGTATTCGCCTCCATGTTTTAATAGAGGTCTCATGCTTTTACTAGAGGTACGGGCGTATGGCAAATGAGAATATTTCTTTTTTGTATAATTCATGTTTTGAGCACTGTGTAAGTTTGCGTAACAACCTCTACAAGGAACCAAATGGGCAAAATATAATGCACCACTCTGGATAAATGTTAATGCAGGTAACCAAACAAGCCATACGGAGCCTGTATGTAATCAGTGAGTATCACTTTGCAATTGTAGGAATGTTTTTTTTCTCCACCAGTTGCTACAGTTAAACTATATTCACGTTTTTCTGTTTGAAAATATCCATAAGTATTCAGTTTGAACAGGTTCAGCAACAGGTCATGGATAATATCCCTAAGTATTCAGTTTGAACAGCAAACCCGTTTCTGTTCCAGTGCAATGAATTAGGTGGTAAATACTTTTTCTACTCCAATCTCTAAATATTTTCCGAAACAACGAAAAAGTCGCAGATCCCAAATTGTGGTCAGAAGTTGAAGCACATGCATCTTGATGTTTTTTTTTCTTCCCGAACGCATTCATCTTCACGCTTAAAATTTCTATACACGTGCATCGCGACGTTCTATACACGCTTAAAATTTCTATACACGTGGAATTGATGTTTCGGCTGCTCAGTTCTCGGCTCGTTTCAGCTTATTCTCTTGTAGAATACTATGAAATAATCCAAAATCTGATCAGCCGAACAGGCCCACACCTTCTTTATTCGTCAGGATAACCGGTACAAACTCCATCGAGAAAAACGACAAACCAAACATGTTTTATTTTTAAAAAACGTTTACAGTTATTGTCGCTACTCCTATATCGTATTCGTATCGCAGAGCTCCAACACTCTGGCACTCTGATCAGCTGTCACCAGCGATCCGCACGTCGCAGCAGCAAGATTCCAAGATATCGCGGGGGAAGCAAGAGCAAGAGGAGTCAACGCACGAATGGCGGGCACGGCGGCGTCACCGGCCTCGGGCTACGGCTCCGACGGCGTGTACCGCTCGCCGCGCGCGGCGGCGCCCATCGCCTCCGAGCCGGGCCTCTCCCTCGCGGACCTCGTCCTGCGCCGCGCCGCGGCGTGCCCCTCCGCGCCGGCGCTCGTGGACGCCGCGACGGGCCGCGCCCTCACCTTCGGGTCCCTCCGGTCAGCGGTGCTCGTCGCGTCCGCCGCGCTCTCCTCCCGCGCGGGCGTCCGCCGCGGCGACGCCGTGCTGCTCCTCGCGCCCAACTGCGTGCTCTACCCGGTCTGCTTCCTCGCCGTCACCGCGCTCGGCGCCGTCGCCACCACGGCTAACCCGCTCTACACCCCGCGGGAGATCGCCAAGCAGGCCGCCGACGCCCGCGCCAAGCTCGTCGTCACCGTCTCCGGCCTCCTGCCTAGGATCGCCGGTCTCCGCCTCCCCACCATCCTCCTCGACGGCGGCGACGGCGACGGCGCCTCCGTGCCTTCGGGCTGCCCCAGCGCTAGCAGTAACGTCACTCTCTACTCGGACCTCGTCGCCGGGGTGCAGGAGGCGGAGTACCGCCGCCCGCCGGCGGTGGGGCAGGGCGACACGGCGGCGCTGTTCTACTCGTCGGGTACGACCGGGGAGAGCAAGGGCGTCGTGCTCACGCACCGCAACTTCATCGCGGCGGCGACGATGGTGACGTCGGACCAGGACGAGCTGGGCGAAGGCCGCAACGTGTTCCTCTGCTTCCTGCCCATGTTCCACATCTTCGGCATGGCCGTGGTCACCCTCGGCCAGCTGCAGCGCGGCAACGCCGTCGTCGTCATGGCCCGGTTCGACGTCGACGCCGTGCTGGGCGCCGTCGAGCGCCACCGCGTCACCTACCTCTTCGGCGCGCCGCCGGCGATGATCGCGCTCGCCAAGCATGGCGGGGGCGGCAGGTACGACCTCAGCTCGCTCAGATGCATCGGCTCTGGCGCCGCGCCGCTCGGCAAGGACGTCATGCTGGCTATGGCTGACAGATTCCCCGGTGCTGACATTATCCAGGTGGGTTAGCATGTGGGATCGTGCAACAATTAATTAAATGCTTAACATTATGGGATTACACATCACATCATGATCTGATGATCCTTAACATTATGAGAACAGTTGACACCGTAGCCTGTGCACATGATCCCACGAGCTGACATCCTAGCCAGAGCGTGGCCCGAAATTTGAACACGTTCGATTGCAGTATTTTTTTACCTAAAATGTATTTAGCATTCAAAGTTTGTCCCAAAATAGATGTACTTCTAGTTATAGTCCACCTAGTGCTGGTAGTTTTTTCTTTCTTTCTCTATTTTCAAAGTGCAATTATTATATGCTGAAATAGCTTTTGATATGAATAAATATGTAATTTCTATATAGCATTGATGTTCTCAAGAATTCTAGATACACTTATTTTTGAGACCTAGGGAGTAGATACTAGAGAGAGAGAGTACTACTAGTACTACTTTTTATTTTATTAGGCTCAATGTGGCATATTTTGACATGCTAATCTAGGAATTGAATGGTGTGCTCACCTGTGATTGTAAAGAACAATGGTAACATTGATTGCTCTTCTGCAGGCAAGCCTGATGAGCTGCGCAAGCCCTGTATTTAGAATTGTGACAGATTTAGGTGATTACTAAAACAGCACAGTGATAACTGTGTTGAACATGTAGTATTTGTTGGAGTGCATCCTGTTTTATCTTTAGACCAGACATATACTCCCCATGCTGTTGAAAATGCTGAAAAATGTTTACTTTTTTTGCGAGGAAAAAAATGTTTACTTCTACTTTTGCTGCCATTTTTTTGTATCAAGAGTCATGATGACAATGATGCTACCTATAAACTCATCTTGCAGGGTTATGGTATGACTGAAACCTGCGGGATAATATCCCTGGAGTACTTACAAAAGGGCCGCGCCTGTCAGTTTGGTTCAACTGGAGCACTTGTCACAGGAGTTGAAGCAAAGATTGTTGATGCAAAGACAATGAATCATCTGCCTCCGACCCAACTAGGAGAAATCTGTGTTCGAGGACCAAACATAATGGAAGGTAAATTTGAATTATGGTCTGTGTAAATCTAAACCTGTCATTACGATATGGATTACCATAACATCTATAATCAGAAAGGGAGCTGTATTCACTAAAATATAAGACATCAATTTCTTGGTCAACTATTTACAAATTAAAATACCGAGCTCACTCAAATGATATTGCAGTGAAACCCAAGCAACTGTCAGTAGTTTTTTTTTTTTGGCATTGCAGTTGTTTATCGAAAACTAGGATATGCCAATTGCTAATGACTGACATGATTTGGAAGGAAAAGGCAGCTAGTGTTTTATACCAAGATGCTCCATCTATTAGATATGTATAGCCAATACCACCTCCTACAAAGTTCCCTGTCATGAGCTATGTGCAAATCTACAATGTTTCTCACCGACAACAGGCCCAAATGCCCGCCAAAACTTCTTTTTACTTATTTAATTGGGGGAAATTGTTAATAGGTTATTTCAACAATGTGCAAGCTACTGAGTTTACAATCAAACATGGGTGGTTGCATACTGGTGATCTTGGATACTTTGATGAAAGAGGCCAGCTTCATGTTGTCGATAGACTTAAAGAGCTGATTAAGTACAAAGGCTTCCAGGTAAAGAATTTCAGTTTTTTTTCCTGAAAATTCTTTTCAGTTTTAGCAACCCCCTTTTCTTTTAATCATGTGAGGGAAAACTAGTTTTCCCCCCTCGTACCAGAAATTTTCAAGTGAAACAGAATGTCCGTAGGCCCATTTTTTCCGTAGGAACTTTATATCTTCCTTTATTTACTGGCAGATTGCTCCTGCTGAGCTTGAAGGATTGCTTTTGTCTCATCCAGAAATTCTTGATGCTGCTGTTATCCCGTAAGCTGAACAACTTAGATTCTAGTTTTTATAGCTTCTTATAAGAATAGAAATATCTTCAATTCTTTTGTTTTCTTGTCTCGTAATTTTTGGAATCTACTTTCTCCAAGGTATCCTGATCCTGAAGCAGGGGAAGTTCCTATCGCTTATGTTGTACGATCACCAAAGAGTTCACTGGCTGAAGTTGATGTCCAGAAATTTATTGAAAGGCAGGTGATGTTGGCTAGAACTCAAGCTTAGTTGTGACCAGCAACTAGTTTTACTATAGTAAAAAAGACCATAGTATCTCACCCACTAATAGAATGAAACATTTGTAACTCCTGAAATCCTGAATGGATGATGTTCTGTACTCCTGCATCAACTGAATATGGCCCTTCTAAATTCTAACACCATAATGACTTAGGCCTCGTTTAGTTCATCTTCCTAAAGTTTACTCTCTATCCCATCGAATGTTTGGACACATGCATGGAGTATTAAATATAGACTAAAAATAACTAATTACACATTTTGCAACTAATTTACGAGACGAATCTTTTAAGCCTAATTAGTCCATGATTTGACAATGTGGTGCTACAGTAACACATGTGCTAATGGCGGATTAATTAGGCTTAATAAATTCGCCTTGCAGATTACTGACGGATTCTGTAATTTATTTTTTATTAGTATCCGAACACCCTATACGACACCTCGTGTGACATCCGATGTGACATCCCAAAACTTTACACCGAATTTAAACAATGCCTTATTTCAGGTCGCGCACTACAAGAGACTGAGGAAGGTAACGTTTGTGGACAGTGTATCAAAATCTGCTGCGGGAAAGATTTTGAGAAGAGAGCTCATCGCCCAAGTCAGATCATCCAAGCTGTAGCAAATTGATCTTCTCGATTTTATTACAGTGCTTGTCTTCTGGGTTCTGCTAGATACAAAAGTATAGAATCTCGGCTAAGCGCTGTAAAGGTTTATCTATCAAGTCACTGTCAGGAACCACACATTCAGTCTATACATGCCAGACACAGTTTTTTTTTAATTAAAGAATAAAGCATTCTGGCCTCTATAATATCCACGGATGAATGAGTATAGCCGTACGCCGGATACTAGGTGCAGGCCATGGATGATGTAGACAAGTACGAATGCAAGCGGGTTTGTTGCCGAACCTGCAAGTCGGCCATTTTAAACCCAAACCCGCCTCGAATGATTTATTTGTGCGTTTGCAGATCGAACCCTCGAATCCCTCCTTATAGCATACTGTATAATGGAAGAGCTATCAAGCCTGTGTGAATGAATCAAAACACAGTAATCTTTCAAATATAAGAATGATAAAAGGTCATTTGATACCATGATTTACTATCAACTCCAGGAGACCGCTTTGCAAGATATGGTTGTAGCGGTCTCATAGTTCTCGGAGAAAGTGGCCTTTACCCGGGCACATTGGTAGTTGTGTAGTCCTCGGATTGATAGCAAACAAAATGTATGTGTATCCCTTTTATTTTCTCTTTTGTGTAAGGTTGCGTGTCATCTGGCCGAGAGGATTTCAAGGTGATAAAATGTGTGGGCCTGGCCCGTTCCATCTCCAGCCTACTAATCACGGGCCGCTACACTCCCACGGGCCTCTCTCACAACTCCTGCAGCCTACTTACCGAAGGCGCCAGTTTGGGTTTTGTTCAGATCTCTCAACAAACTAGGTTTATTGCATTCCTACTAGTACATCGTAGAACAATTACTGTATCTTCCGATATACGGAAGAAATACTCCTTACTAAAACATCATCTTCAGTCCATTACAACACCGTCGTATACAGAAATGTCACTTGCTACAAACATCCATAGTTGTGCACAACAAGAGCGCTCAAAGCAGCAAACACCCTCGATCAACCAGTATATACAGGCAGACAAGCAGCACAACGCACTAACGTTTAGGTGTTAGACGATTACAAGTAGCACGCATCGCATATATACACAGTACATCGCAGGTCCTTTTAGACTACGCTATACTACTAGTACTGGTAGCATCAAGGAGACATTAGGATCTTCCTCAACTCACGGCTGCCTTCCAGGATGCAACCTGAACCAGCAAGAGAGTTGATCCACACGTCATCAGTTCTCACGGGCTCTTCGTCGTCATTCCTGTGCCAGGTCCAGTGGGCATGGGTGGAGTTCACGATCTTTAGCTCGCCGTGCCCAAAGCTCGCTTCCCTGAAGACTGACCAAGCTGGCTTCGGGTTACGATACCTGAAAACGCCAAGAATGCTGAAGTTGCTAAGATTCAGAGGCACAAATACAGTGGTGGTCAAGTGGTACCTGTGGGCCAAGCCTTCACGGTTCCCACCGTCCCCAATAGTTATGTGAACAGCACCACAAGGATCAAGTATGCCATTGTAGACTCGCTCCTGCAGGAAGAGTGAAATAACCACATGTAATTTTCATTCAGATCGACCAAATGGTTACTTGCTCAAATTTGAATACTTCTGCAGACTGCAGTTCGGGGATATATAGGGAGTCATACCGCACGTTCATAAGCATGGACATGACCTGCTATTACCATATCCACATGAGCAGCATACAGCAAAGGCTCCATTGAAGCCATCATACTGTCACCTTGACCCTGATGAGCCCAATTGCTATTGTACCATGGTACATGCAACAACACAATGAGCCAGGGTGTCCTCTTTCTATCAACCTTGGCAAGATCAGCCTGAAAAGAAGAGAAGTTAATATACCAAAAAAAATCAAATCTACTATCAGCAAGAATAGCTGAGGAGAGGTTTTGAAGTTAAAGACATCCTCTTTAAGTTAAGACAAATAAAATATACATTGACCATAGATAAAATAACTAGTAATTAAAATTCAAGATGAGCAATACACTAGGTATTGAATTCCAATCATTAGTCTATCTTTACTCTTCTTAGTAATGTACTGTTAGCAAAAACATGGTTCCTTTCAGTATACACAATCCCTTCTCCCTCCAAACAATTGTAATGCGCTCTGATATGGATGTTATCACTACAGAGTTTCATACCTTTAGCCAAGCATACTGATCTGAGTTATCATCATAATCTGTGTATGAACCTAGCATTATGAAGTGTGCACCTGCAACTTCAAAAGAGTAGTACAAATTTGATCTAGATCCACTCTCTTCATAAGGCATTTTCCATCGTGCATTATAAGATTGAAATCCTGACTTAAAAAATAGAATCTGCTCCTTCTCATGGTTGCCTTCCGTCACCATCCAAGGCCGGTTGCTAGCAAGTGGCTCCACCAATGTGCCGAAGGAATCCCACAAATGTTGCATATAATCAGCATAAGAGAGATCACCAGGGAGTAAAAGCATATCATGCTCACACTGCTTAATGTGATTCAGGGTTGATGTTGTCCAACTAGTCTGACCAAGATCACCAACAACAGCCAATGACAGTGGAAACTGGGAGGGCGGGGTCTTAAATTGGAATTCTGGACCTTGGCCTCCACATCGGTAGTAATAAATAGTGTTGTCTTCAAGAGGTCCGACGACAACATGATGAATTTTTCCTGAGCTATACAATAAGTAGCTGTAGGATGTGCTTTCTCCTTGAGATTTCATTGTGTATGTACCTTCTTTGGTTCCATAGTCCACCACAGATGGGACAGAGTTATCATCAGTAATCCATGTTATTCTCATGTGCTTTTCTCCAGCTAGTGAAATGTGCACCTGAAAATCGTGCCATTACATGAGTGGTTCAAGAGCAAATATTGTCAACAATAAAAGGAAGTAAAAACACTAGTAAAGGACTAAGCAAGTACTAATGAACTGCGCAAAGGATCTGCTGCAAAGAAATTTAGCTTTGGAGAACAGATAAACTAATGCAGTCAATTACTTCCTTATATCTCAAATTATGACCCTCTTGTTTATCATGGACATAGAGAAGCTAGGATATCCATCAAGAAAAAACCCAAATAAGAAGGCCTAAGACATCCATATGGCACATTAACAGATTACCCATGAATACTAACACAACTAGTTATTTTTATGTGCCAATAATTAAATTTGCCATCAACTAACCTCATGAAAATTAAGCATTCCCTCAACTTCATAATACAAGGTCAAATTATACTTCTCCCAGGTTTAAAATGGTGACAGTTTAGGTGATTAGTCTGCTCTTATCATATGTAGAGCTAATAACCTGCTCCTGTAAGTAGGGAATCATTTAAAATGTGTCCTTGAATTTAGTAGAGGTCTAATGAAATGGATGGACGCGCCATTAAATTCAACTGGTCATGCCAAGTTCCAAATCTTTTATATTATAGCTAGTGACTAAAAAACTACCTTATGTTTCACACTAAAGATGCTGAAAGACCTACAGTGGATGTTAACATCTTCAACATTTAGGCACCAAGTCGCATGTAATGCAATTAACATTTGGGTGTAAAGCCATAAAATCCAACAGAAAGCCCTCATCAGGGTTGTCGCTGAGTGGAGTATGGACATACAAATGAAAAAAAAGGTAGAAATCTGGAAAACAAAAATTAGCCGTCCAGAATCATGATTCAACTATTTAGCGGTGGTTTTTGTAGGCTTCATGAGCTTGTGGTCTTATATTATCTGTCAATGTTCCTACAAAGTATGAACAGCCAAGACGGACTATAAAGGATAAGAAAGAAGAAAAACATTGCAGGACTAGTAAACTCTATGGTCATAGGAACAGCCAAGACGGACTATAAAGGATAAGAAAGAAGAAATACGTTGCAGGACTAGTAACTGTATGGTCAGAACTGTGTGCCGCTAACATGTTACCAAGTGGAATGGATATTGAATGCACATTAGTGAAGTGCCCAAGCATGCACTGATATAGAGTTTCTGCATTATCACACTGGAAAGTTGAACTTCAAATACCTTCAGGCTTCATAGGTTAGTTCAGCCTAGATCTATTATTCTGAGGCCACCCCACAAAGCTCCTAGCCTCCTGGGCATCTTAGAAGCAACAATTAGTGATCTCTCCCTTACATCACTAAAAACATGGTAAAATCAACCAGGAATGAAGTTGATTTTGATTTAGTTACTAATCGAGAATAGCGACTGAGTGTACCATGCTAGTCATGACTAGTTTGGGTTGGAATTGGCATGACCTCACTCATCTCTATAAGACGAAATGAGGGCCAAGCTCAGCCCATCCATTGGGCCACGTCAACAGGAATTTCTCAGCCGATGGATCATAATCGGACGGTTTAAATCAGCGTTCTGGAGCCTTCGTCCTGCCTCCCCGTCCTCGCACCGACCACTCTCGCCTGCCGAGCCGCACGCCGCCCGCTGCCTCAACCAACCCCACGGCGAGGCCCACGGGCGAAACCCACCGGCAAGGCTGCCGCGGTCGCGGCCATGACCACGAGACACCGGCTCTGGTGCAAGGGGGGCTAGTTACCAGCGAGACAGCAACAGCACCAGGCGTGCCAGCCCGCCTCCCTGTTCACACCCATGGAACCCACCTCCCGCCTACTCACATCCACCGCAATCGCTGCCTCCCTCCTTGCCTTCCCGACGCGAGCTGCCTCCACTGTGTGGCCGCAGCGGCGAGCATGCGCCAACTAGCGGCACCACCGTACCCTCTGGCCTATTCACTTCATACTCCTCGCCGCCTGCGTCTCCCTCCACCATGCACGGCCCTCGTCTGGGGGCTGGGGCTGGCCCCTTCCACAGAAACACAAGGTGGAGGCCATCCTCGAAGCGGCAGAGACACGAGTGGAAGACCCGCACCGATATGGTGGCGGTGCGAGCGGTTGGGCTCGCGGGCGCAGGAGCACGGTGCCGTCACAAGCCACGCGTGATGATGCAGGCAACCAGCACCAATGCTTCGCAACTCCCCCGCACCCTTGTGCGCAATCCCACGCAGCAGATCAC